TAGCTGTGGTGGTTTGAATGAGAATGGCTCCCATAGGCCATGTTTGAATTTTTGGTCCCCAATGGTGGAACTATTTGGGGAAAACTGGGTATGGCCTTGTTGGAGGAGCTCTGTCAAGGGGGTGCTCTTTGAGGTTTCAAAAAGACTTGTAACATTCCCACTGTGCTCCCTGCCTCCTATTTGTGCATCAAGGTGAGCGCTCTCAGGTGCTGCTCCAGTTGCTTTTGGCCTAGCCTTTGAAGCCCTCTGGAACCTAAGGTGGCTTACATTCTTTTATAATTTGCCTCCATCATGATGTTTTGTCATGGCAATAGAAAAGTAACTGACAAACAGTCCAGCCCCTATTTTATTTTATTTTTTAAATTTTAACTTTATGTGCATTGGTGTGATGGTGTCAGATCCCCATCTGTAACTCCACTGGAGTTACAGTTTGTGAGCTGCCATGTGGGTGCTGGGAATTGAACTCAGGACCTCTGGAAGAGCAGTCAGTGCTTCTAACCTCTGAGCCATCTCTCCAGCCCCTATTGTTATCATCTTGATTTATGTGTAGGTGTATGTGTCCTGGCTAGTTTTATGTCAGCCGCCACATGTCATCAGAGAAGAGGGAGCCTCAACTGAGAAAATGTTCCTTGAGATTGGGCTTTAGGCAAGCCTGTGGGGCCTTTTTTGTTTTGTTTTGTTTTTAGAGACAGGGTTTCAGTTGTGTGGCCTTGACTGTCTGTAGATCGTGCTGGCCTGGAACTCAGATTCACCTGCCTTTGCCTCCTGAGTGGTGGGATTAAAAAGCATGTACCACTACTATCTGGATGTATTTTCTTTTCTTTTCTTTTTTCTTTTGGTTTTCGAAACAGGGTTTCTCTGTATTGTTTTGGAGCCTCTCCTGGAACTTGCTCTGTAGGCTGGCCTCGAACTTACAGAGATCTGCCTGCTTCTGCCTCCAGATTTCTGGGATTAAAGGCGTGTGCCACCAATGCCCAGCTTTTATTTTCTTAATTACTGATTCATGAAGGAGAGTCCAGCCCATTGTGGGTAGGGCCACCCCTGGCCTGGTGCCACTGGGTCCTAAAATAAATCAGGCTGAGATAGCCATATGAAGCAAGCCAGTTAGCAGCACCTCTCCACGGCCTCTGCATCGGAGCCTGCCTCCAGGTTACTGTTCTGTTTTGAGTTCCTGCCCGATTTCCCTCAATGAATTGTGATTCTGAATATGGAAACCAAAGAAACCCATTCCTCCGGTTGCTTTGGTCATAGTAACTCTAACTAGGACAGCATGTTGTGCTGGCCAAAGAAGACCTTGGAGCTGTAGTTGCAGACAGTTGGGAGCCACCTGATGTGGGTTTGAAGAGCAGCAAGTGTTCTCATCCTCTCTCCAGCTACCTCCAATACCAACTGGAACCAAGGGTGGGCTGGGTTGCCCTTGTAGGTCTAGGGCACGGAGACAATGACACTGCACACTGTACAAGAACCATCTGGTGCCGGTTAGCCTAGGAAGTGCCTGCTGAGCTAGCTCACCGAGACACCAGGGTCCAGCTTGCCAAGGAGGAGCACAAGTTCTGCTTAAACGTAAATCTCTGCGCAGGAGAAAAGGCAGTCCGGGGCAGGCACTGCCAGCTCATCACTTCAGGCCCTGCTGTCACTCAGGGGATGCTGAGCGGCCCTAGCCAATCAGTGCCTCGGAGCGCACACCGTTCGACCACAAGCGTCGCGGGGAGGCGGGAGGCGGTTCTGTCTGGCCGCCGCGCACAGGACCGAGCTCCGCGGCTGAGGGAGGCGCCGTGGTCCCGTGTGCGGCGCTGTGAGGAAAGCGCGAGCGAACTCGGACCCCGCGACATGGTGAGCGCGGGCCGCTGTCCTCAGGCGGGGAGGAGCGGCCA